TTACATTGTTCTCAAAAATTCTCTTCTTTATCTGTAGTGGGTCAAATGACTAACAAATTGTTTTCTTGCACTCAGGGAAATGTTTTCTTTCAGATTTAACAACCAGTCGAAAATAAACACTAACAAACCAACAAGAAAATTATACACAAAGTGCAAACATTTTCACCTGTGTTAAATGAGCACTGTCAGGCAACAAACTGCTGAGAACACACAGGGGATTGTTGAACATGTGTGTAGGAGGAAGGGGTGTATGATGTAAGAAGAGAGGAGGGGGTTTATATTTTGTAGAAAGACTTCCAGGCAGTGGAAAAGAAGTCAACATCATGATAATTTATGGCTGCGTTATGATGGGGAGCCTTGTAAATTTCCACTTGTTCTAGATGTTTAAGTCTGTTATTCTGGATTTCTTACAGATGATCAATCACAACCCCTTCGGCCTAATACTCCATCTTGAACAGGACAACGCCCACTCCGTTCATTTCCTGGACCTCCAGATCACCAACAAACTGGGATGCTTGTCTACTCAAGTCTATAGGAAACCTACCCATTTCCCCACCTTCATCCCAGCCTCATCCCATGATCCTTTCAAGTTCAAAATGGCTGCTTTCAGAGTCTTAATACAGAGAGCATTTTCCCATTCTTCTAGCAAACAGGAAATAGAGAAGGAGCTATGTATTATCACCCAATACACCATCCAGCATGGCTACCCCCACACATTATTAGAGGTCTTATCTGCAATCTTTCCAACACTGCTTCCATCCAGCTAAATAAACCCACTCAAAAAGAAACAAAATTTAAGACCGTAACTTACAATAAGTCCCTTGCCACACTTTACAGAGAAATTGCATAAGGAAATAATTGTCGTTTGGCTTTCCACAGAAGCCCAGCTATCACCTTTCTACTCTGCAAAGCCAAAGATCGTTCCAACAAGAATGAACCACACATCAGGCAACTACAGCATCCCAATCATTGACCACCATTACAACTGCCACCTGTAATACATAGGTGCTACGTCTCGCCCATTATATATCTGTCTCAAGGAACATCAAGCATCTATCAAAAAGGTTTAAACAATACGGCTTTTGCTTCCTACACAACCGATCCCAGCATCCAGCGTCAGGTTCAGGTTTTATTAAAAATGTACACCGTACATGCCCGACTCTGCTAAGCATGGTCAGGCTTAAAAACATATAATACTAAATAAGGATACATAGTTTGGTATAACTTAAACAGTATGAAAGTGGTAATTTGTAATTAACATCAAGCAACAAAACAAAATAACAAACACATACAATAACAAAACAGTTGCAGGAAATCAAGATAATTTAATGTAAATACCTACTGACATAGAAATAATAATAAGATCATAAGTATTTTATACAAAATAAGAAAAAGTACATAGTTTACACAGAGCTAAAAACATCAGTTGCAGTAGAAGTTCTGCATAGAGTAAAGCCAACATTAAAAGATCTATCATCTAGACTGTGATGATGCAGGGGTTGGAGAAGTAGCAAATACCGATCAGTCACCTGTTATTTAGTCTCTCTGTAGAATGCTTATGATATGTTTTAGTTAATTGCCTAAAAATGTCAAAGATTTCCTTAGTACTTAGTAGATCACTTTGGCTACAGGGTGATCCCAGCATCCAGGTGGACTTTCATGAGACACACCTCTTACATTACGAATCTAAACCACATGTGCTTAAACATCCAGAACAAGTGGACATTTACAAAGCCACCCACTATAATGCAACCATAAACTATGAAGACGTTTACTCCTTCCCCACTGCCTGGAACTCTTTCTACAAAATATAAACCCCCTCCTCTTTTCTTATGTCATACACCCGTTCCCCCTACACATGTGTTCAGCAATCCCATGTGTTCTCAGTAGTTTGTTGCATGACGATGCTCATTTAACATGGACAAAAACATTCGCACTTTGTGTATAATTTTCTTGCTGGTTTTTTAGGTTTTAGCAGTGTTTATTTTGATCTAATATTAACCAGTTGTAAAGTAGCAGTTGTTAACTTAACAACTAGTATTGCCAGTAATGAATTCTATAATTTTATTTTTAATAATTTAAAAAAATACTGATAAAATTACCAAATAAATGTTTGGATCACATTCACTAAATGGTATTGCTACGTAACAAATATAAATTTTAAATGTTGCAAAATTGAAAGTATTAAATTTCTTATCCTGGTCTGATTGTGAGAAAGCAAGGCAATAACACCAATGCAAGAAAATTGCATTGTCAAAAAAGCTGCAATGACTTATTTGGAATGAATTGGGATTGGTCCGGTCATTGAAACCAGGAGAAAAAAATAGAATGTGTAGCATTGTGGTAAAAGTTAAATATTCTACATTGTTATTTTATTGAATTGCAATTGTTATGTGCAACAATTGAGTGTACAGTGTTCTCACGCTGAGAGAGAATTTACTGCAGGTGATAGTAAGGTATTGTTTTTCGTAAAAATTTCTCTGGGAAAAAAGTTATAAACTTGAAAACCACTGTAGGTATTGCTTCAGAACATATCAGTTGAGGAATACTACAAAGCCTGCAGTTCAACTGTTAATTTTTTTAGAAATTAAATTAAAAATATGATATATATCTGCTGGATACATATGTCCCAAGATGCAAGTTAAGGCAATCATTTGGCCATGTATCTATAAAATTACTGCCAAATCATGATGAGTTATTCTGGAAATTCAGTCATAGCTTGAGCGTGCCCCATAAGTGACACATAGCAGCAATACCCTGTTGCTGTAAAAAAATGAGCAGGGGCTACCACACAAGACTGGACAGGCATATCCAAAGAAATTAATCTGCAGTTTAAGGGTAATGTCATAGAACATAAGGACACTAACAGGAAAAAGCAGAGATGGTAGCTGTTATAAAGAAAAGGAGAGTGAGGCCTCCTTACAAGAGACAAAATGGAAAGAAGAGAAGGCTAGAGAAATTGGTTGTGACTACAAGTGGTATTCTTAAATGAGAAACAGCAGGAATGGAGTTGGGATTGTGGGCTGTAAAGAGCTGAAGGAGAAAGTAACTTAGTAAAAGTAAAAAGAATAAATGACAGAATTATGATGATCTAAGTGATCCTTGGAAAGACAGCTTGAAACTTTCTCAGTGCATATTCCTCTCAAGCAGGATTAGGAGAGGAAGAGAAGTTCTGGAATTGCCTAGATGACCTATTACAGGGAATACCAGAATGCAAGAAGGCACTAACTAGCAGAGACATAAATGAGCTTGTTGGAAGAGAAAGAAATGGTTATGACAGGATGCACAGTGGACAGGGCTTTGGAGCTAAGAACAATGAAGGAATCCAAACTCTAGATGGTAATGATCATTGACTGGCCATAGTAAATATCTTTTATGTAAAGAGAATGGTGCATCTGGTTATTTACAAGAATAGTGGGAATGTCATATATTACCTATATTTTAATCAGAAGGGAGATTCTGAAGATGTGTAAAGATTGGAATGTGATATCAGGAGAGAGCCTTAGCACTGAACACAGAATGCTTGTGATGGATTTGAAGATTAAAATACAGGAGGAAGCCAGAGAACAAGTCGGTTCTCCACAGATAAGATGGTAGAAATTGAAGGGCAAAAAAGAAAGAGAGTTTAGGAAGAGGCTGTTTCTGTTGGACTGTTGGGATTTAGAACTAGATGTAATACTGTGTGGAAGAAAATGACTGAGAACATTGTGATGGTTGGTGAAAAGAGAAGTGGTTGGTGAAACTGGGATCAAAGAACGTGTTGGGAAAAAATCTTGCTAGTGGAATGAGGACATGCAGACAATTATTAAGGAAAAGAAGATTTTGTTCAAGAAATGGATGACTGTAGGAAGTATAAAGAAGCCAAAACAAAAACTAAGAGAGCAGTTAGTAAGGCCAAATATAAAGTCTTAGATGAACTTTAAGAAATTAGAGACAAGAGAGGGTGAGAAGGTGGTATACAAGCTGGCCAAAATAAAAGAAAGGACAAGCAGTGATCGTGGACAGATACATCGCATAAAGGATAAAAACCAGAGAGTGCTAACTGATGAGGGAGAGATTAGAAAGCATTTGAAACAATACTTCTATAGTCTACTGAATTTCCAGTCTAAGGTTGAAAGAGATTTGAAAATGGACAAAAAGAAAGGCAAGGTTGAAGTAATAAGTGTACAAAAGGTCAAAATTGTCCTGTTCAGAATGGAAAATGGGAAAACTGAAAAACTTATTAATTCTGAAAATTAAAAATTTTCAAAATCATGTTTATAAGTTCTACACTGATGGCATTGTTCTATATTTAGAATGTATTTTTTTCTTTGAAGGTGATTATTAGTATTAGTATTAGTATTAGTGAAAGTGTAGTTTTTTCAAAGCAGTGTAAGTAGGTGGTTAAGCCACCAACTAATTATGAAATTTATCACTAGATATTAGCTTAACTATAACCAAATGCTTTACATCTAATCATTAAATTAGTATTGTTATAGCCTGATTAATAATCTGGGAGTTTGTCTGGCATTAATAATTAAATTAGGTTAATGTATACGTCATTAACAATAATAGGCCAAGATATAGACAGTAGAGAGAAAAAAATGAAATGTTTTTAAGAGAAAATTGTTTCTTATTTCTTTTGGAATTAAGTAATAAGAAATTCTGGTTAGGGTTAAAAGCTAAAAATCTCTTGGGAGAGTATATGAATGATAAAAATACTGTAGAGTCTAACTGTGGTGAATTCTGACAAATAATGTAATTATAATCACTTTCAGTTACTAATGTTTTAATTTAGTAAATATTATAATACTTATGTCTATTTCTATTGTATTCCATATTGTATCATCATGAGTTATTTTCAGCATTCTTTGATCATAAATTTTAAAGATAGAGAAAGTTACATAGTAAGATATGTAAAAAAGCAAAAATTTATACATGTATAAATTTCTAAAAGTTTCATAAGATGAAAATAATAATCTGATTTCATATTAAATTAAAACATTTATATTGAAACTTACCAACAGCACCCTCTCTTAATGCTTGTTTAATTACATAACAAAGTCTAGCAGGATTATATGGAAGATTGTCTGATTCAATAATGCCATTTGTCATTGGGCTATTAACAGAAACTGTGGACGGTCCATCATGAACATTGACTTCACCACTGAAACAATCAATTATGTGATTGGCACACATATGCATTTCTGTTACTAAACTGGTTATTTCTGTAAAATAAATTATGATGATATTTCATCTCGTAAACATTTCTTTTTATATAAATACAAGAATATAAATTATTACGTTGTTTTAGAGCAGAATTTTTTAAAAACAGTTCACATAATTCTTCAAATTTTCGAAAACCAGGTATGTGAGCTAATAAATGCAAGCAATTCATTGCTGTTTCTTCTTGCAGATTATCTGGCAAACATTCACAATAAATATAATACAGAGTAGCATATAAAACATCTTCTGGTAAATCTTGTAAAGGAGTTGGTGATTGTGTCCAATCTATTTCCGGATTACCAAGTTGCAAAACAATTTTATGAACTTTAAACTAAAAAAAAAAGGAAATGTTTATTAAACTATAATTAATTGTAATTTTTTAATAATGTTAATAAATATCATTCAAAATAAGAACTGTATTTCATGATTAAAATAAGAAATAAAATAAATATTATAAACAAATTAGCAGTGCAAAAATAAAAAACTTTTTTCTTTTTACTTTATATAGCTATGTATTTTGGTATTAATTTAGGACTTATCATACCATGTTTTTTTAGAAAACTTGACTTGAACCTTTTTCTTTTCATTAAAAAGAAAAAGAAAAAGATCCAATTTTCATTAAAGACAAATTTAAAAACAAGTAAAACTAACAAAAATAACACAAAAATGAATTAATAAAATAATTTTATTTTAAAAATGAACAATAACTTACTGTAATTTTATGACAACAAAACTAATCCAGACAGAAATATTAACTTGCACAAACAACAACAGTAAGAAGAAGAAATGTAAGAAATAAATTAAAACAATCTAAAATTTATTATTCCTAAAAAAAAAAAACAGACATTTATTATCATTGAAATTTTGTGACAAAACTCGGCTTCAAAAACTGTAGCATAATTGTGTGGAATAGAATTGATACGATTATCAATGGTCATTTTATCAATTTGGCAATTATGACAATTTATTTGTGTCTAAAATTTATTTAGGATGGATGGTTTACTCAAACCTGAACACTTTAATACTGACCCAAACATTAGCGGCACTTCTCAACAATAATCTCATTTGTACCAAACTGTCAAGAATTTTGTATCATTGACAGAAATAGATATGAGGAAATTTAGCCTTCTTGTTAATTTTGTTGGTCCCCTAGTCCAGTGAACACCAAACTTTTTTGATTGCATACCCCTAGGATGAAAATAACTATAAGTTGTACCACCCCCTATAATATAACATAATATAAAATCTATTATTTTTTGGTTCTTGAATGCATAATCAGTGTAGCTGTATGCTATATTTTTGTAAATATTAATTTAAGTTTAGTTTAGTTTCTTCTTTCTACCCTTTGTCCTATTGTTCCATTTCCTTCTAGAACTTTCTTATCTATTTCTTAACTAAATCCCTGTCCCTTGGGTGGGATGACCAGTTCTGAGAAATGTGAAGAACAAAGAGTGAACAGGACCCTGAGGACAAACAGACAACGAACAAGGCATTCTCTTGCTGGACTGCTAAGTATATGGACATGATGAGAATGCTCCGAGTCGTGTTAGCAACAACCGGAGATCTCAGAAGTACGTTAAGACAAGGGGTCCTGTTTTAAGGTAGAATTGATGACAGTGAAAGGAAAAATCTTAAGTATAGAAGAAGAAGAAGACAATGAGTCAAATTTTTGGAGAATATCGTGCGGTATCCCACCCAGCAGTAAGCATAGTGCAAATATGCCAAACAAAATCCCGGGTATCCCTGTTTCTATTGTATATACTGTATATTTTCTTCATCCTCTTGTTTCTATCCTTTTCTTCCATTATTGTTAACTTAGTGTATAAGATTAGTTTTAAGATTGAGGCTTCATATTATCGCAATCGGGAATGGTACCTCTCATTTGGATATAACCAGCACTTTTTTTTGTCATAGAACACAATGGAACGGCATTCCACCACCTTTTTTCGATATATTTTAAAAGTTTTAAGAAAATTTTTGAAAATTTGATGTTTGGTCCACATTGAATCGCTCTGCTGAGCATAGAAGATAAGCAACAAAATTATTAAGACAATCCTGCTCCTGCTTGTGTGCCGAATTTTGTGTACGATGCATGTAATATATTTTTAGTAATGAGATGAGCATTCCACGATTTTTTTTTTTCCAAAAAAAGCACTGGATATAACAAACTATTGTCTTAGTGGTAACTTCGCATACTATTGTAATATATCATGACATTGAAATTCCCAAAGAAGAATCTGTATATATATGCGAAATTGTTTACTTGTAAAAATATATCAATTATTATTTTTACCGTATCCTGTCTGACTTTGTGGTAAATTTTACTTTTGCACTAACTTTCACATCAGACAAGGAATTGGAAGGAATATTGAGTCTAAATGAATCTCTCGTCTGCAATAAAACTTCAAATTAGAAAAATATACATATAAAATCTATGTTTATGGAATAAATTACTCATATTTTTTGTTTCAGAAAAATTTGCTAAATTTCTACTATAAATACATAATTCCTGCTAAATTTCCAGCTAACCACAATTTGAATCTTTTTTGTGTATGACCGCAAGTGATCGTGAGCCTACTTTGGGAAAATGACTGTAAGATTAGACAGACTGAGGACAGGACACATACAGTATTTTAAAGGAAAGCATGATGTACCCCAAGTATCACTTTGTGTACCCCCTGGGTACACATACCCCACTTTGGAAGCCACTGCCCTAGTCAACTCCTATATATCATAGTGCTCTGGATTTGAAGATGCCATTAAGACTTTGCTCTATATTTGAAGTCCGTAAATGAAATTTTTGCTTCCCATTGCCTCATTAATTGTCGTCAACAACCCAGTGAGTCAATTGGCCAATGTTATCAGTATCTCAGGGCATTAAGCAAGGACTGTAACTTCACTTCTGTCTCTGCTGAAGAGTATAAAAGTGAATATGTACATGATGCTTTTATCGCTGAGTTGTGATCCAACCAGACTCAACAATGTCTTTTAGAAGGTCATACTCTAAAATTCAAAGAAACCTTGTCACATGCCCACACTTTAAAATCTGCATGTATCCAATTGGAAACCTTTGTCTCCAATACCACTAAGGCAAACACCCAAACTAAAAATGCATGATGGTTTTAAAATTTATTTATTTATGTGTGATATAACTATTTACAGGTTCAATACAGAAAATCAGCTCTAGGATGGTTTCTCCAGCCAACCTTAGACATGATCATCGATGAAACAATCACAAAAATAAAATGGCCATGTCAAATCAAATCACGATCACAATAATTCAATACAATAAACAAGCATAATTAATTTTCTTAAAACTAACCCTTAATACTACACTCACTCCAATAAAAGAAAATTGAAAATAGGGGGCAAGAAGTAGCTAAGATGGCAGATTGGTTAGGAAAGAATACAGGGACTTTTTGTTACTGTGAGGGCCACATGTGAGCTTCAATGCAAAATACTTGATTCTAGCTTCTTTTCCTTCAGTTCTTGAGGGTCTTCTTGTATATTTTGTCCTAAAAGCCAGTAGCATGTTTGGACTCTTCAAGCTGAAAAGCTGGCTCTAACACAATAACTTTGGCCTGGAAATTTTAAAGTTTCTGCTCAAAGTTCTAGCCTCAACCGTCTCTTGGGCACTAGACACTGTAACATCTCTGTCCTTTTGTGACCTCTCTTCAAGCACCAACCTAAAAGTGACCTTTCTTTGCTTCATATGCTTTCAGGTAACCTTGCATATGATGTTGGTGAATTCTAGGAAGTGGCTCTTACTTCCAAGAATGAATAATTAAGATTAGAAAGTTCTAGAAGATAAAAATAACAAAGAGCAGGAAAAATTGTCAGAAGAACAAAAGGACAAAAGCATATATGGCAGACAGCCACATAAGACAGTGTAATTTGAATGATTATATTGTGTAATGTAAGTGTAGGAGAGTGAGATAGTGTGAAACACTGTTCCCTGTTGTGTCCAGTTGTAACTGTAATGTTTGAACTGGCAGTGCTATATTTTTGTAGTGTATTTTTAGACAGAATAAAGTCTCTTGTTAAGATAACATCTTTCTATATATAACAATTACTATATTGTACTATATTTTGCATTGCTACAGAATACAGAAGTATTAGTTTTAAAATTAAAACAGTAAAACAAATATCTGCTAAAATATTTGAATATGGAATTTCTGCAATCTGTAGTAATTAACTTCATTGATGATAATACTGGCTTAAAAAATTTTTTTCTAACTTTTCAAATGCAAACAGTTTCAAAATTTCAAATGTATCTAATGCCGTTGCCAATTTATGTTTTTTGACAAAATATCCAATGCAGATAATCTATGTTTGCATATCATACTTTGCAAGTAATTCTTGATTAGTTTAAATTTCAAACATGAGCATTCTGCAGGTGCTACAATGACTGGCACTGTGAGAAAGAGAATGAATGCAAAACATAAGTCATAATGATATATTCTAGTTTAATTACCGGTACCAATGAACACCATGACTAAACTTTTAATTTTGGAAACAGTGTTTAAAACAACATTGAACTAATGCTTTTGACTAAAACATAAGTCAGGAAACCGAACAATAATACATAATTTTAAACAATTATAAGCTTGTCTAGATCATAAACTGTTTCGCATTTTGAAATATCCAACTGAAGTGTTGACTAAAGTAAAACTGTAATGCAGTAAAACCTAAATACATCAAACTGCGTTAACTTGAAGCTGTATACAGGTCCCAAGCACAGTATATAAGGTTTTCCAAATAATGTAATCTCATTAAGTCAATTTTCCTTGACCCTCTGCCTTTGATAGGTCCATGATCTTAATTTTCTCTATTTTATGTGAAGACAGATAATTGAGATAAAAATGCATTATGACTCCATGCCAAACACAACACCATGTCATTACAACCTCCAGTCGATATCCTTTTACTGATACAGTACATTACCAGCATTCTAATTGGAACACAAAGAAGCACCTTGACAATGCACCATAAAGCACCATAAATTGTATATAATTTTGTAATCATGCTGTGAACAGATCCTTGAGAAACAGCTCAATATCATGAAATTTATGGCCACAGAAAAATTTTCAATAGAAAATCATTATTAAATTTGTTACCTCAAAACTCTAAGTCAGGATATTTTTACCCCTTAAACTTTGACTTTTTTTTGTACTAACTTGTGAGACTAACCCAATAGATAAAAAATGTTGATAGGAAGCTGTTATAGTTATATTATAGCCTGATCATTTAGGCAATCATTGGTTTATTATAGGAAGCTGTTAATTCAGTTATTTTAATAAACAGCTCATCATCTTGTTCATTTAAAATGTAATCAGGAAGCAATAGTCTAAACAAGATTACTATCTTATTTAGTCCCTAAAATCTCAAACTCAACTGAAAAATGGCGGTTTCAAGCCTATGGTAAAAAACAGCTGTTTTAAACAATTTATTGAAACATGTTAAGCCTTCATCACTTGACAATTTATCAAAATGCTTTTCTACGTGAAGTAATCTGGTGAGTATGAATCCAAAAATTTTACAGAATATAATATTCAGAATTTCATGAATATAAATAAATAATGATAATGAATATAAATAAAAGATGCCCACTTTTGCATTTATATATTTTCATTTTGGATCTATTTCCTACCTTAGGTCCTACAAATTAAAAAAGTACAAAAAGTGATAAAAAAAAATAAGAATCATATGTGATACATCTCTCAATTTTAGAAGGAAGCCTCAACCCACTGTACAGAGTTGTCAGAAAATGAAAAAAATTTAGCATCTAAAATATTATTTGTCATCCAAAAGAGTCTAAAAGTAATTTTTATTGAAAACGAAGAGTATCATTTTGCTGTTTATTTACATTCATACAGTATAAAATTTGTAATGTAGCCCAAGTGGCACTAAAATGCCCAATCTAATAATCTTATCATTGTATATGTTTAGCATTGAAATAAATGTGCAAATTTGAAGTCAAAATCTCATGATTTTCTCTAAAAAGGGGACCTTACGGTCTCGGAAATTCAGTTCGGGATGAGACTTTGTAGGTTAGTAGTATACTTCAAGGGTGTCCACCCAGAAGAATTGTAAAGCACACTAGCCAGAAGATTCTGAGAGCTCTAAAATTTTAAGTGCAGCCCTTATACTGATCGATTTTACACTATGGCAGCACAGCGAAATGGCTGAGTCTGTCTTCAACCAATGAACTTAAGACAAAAGTTATGTGAAAGTGTCACTTTTGCTGCTGACTTGTGAAAACTCACCAAATGATTAGCTCCCAGGTGTGAAAGTTGACAGTTATGGGACAAAAATGCATTTGAAATTATTCAACTTTTTAAAAATAAATTATCATCTTTAATTCACATTTTAATTAGCTGTAACAGTCATTTCATAAGTAAAATAAAATTATTTATGATTTAATTGATAATATTTTTAGGTCATTAACTTTATTTCAAAGTTGTTATAAGTTTTAAAGCAATTAAAAATAAAAATAAAAAAAAGTTAGCCGAAGGTAGAACCAAATCTAGATCGCCCACGTGGCAAGCGAGTTCGCTACAGAATCAGCCATTTCGCTGTGCTGCCATAGTGTAAAATCGACCAATATATAAGCTGTGCTTAAAACTTTAGAGCCCTTTTTGTCGGAATCTTCTGGCTAGTGCGCTTTACAATTCTTCTGAGTGGACCCTTGAGGTATACTACTAACCTGTGAAGTCTCATCCCGAACTGAATTTCTGAGACCATAAGGTCCCCTTGTAAGAGGGCATTTTTAGTAAGCCCATTATGAGTTCATCCAGGTTCATAATAGAGTGCTGGGTAGTGAGGGATGGACCCCAACATATCTGAATGACTCACCTGCCAAAAAGTTTTTTACCCATCCAGATTCAGTTCTGGGTCGCCAGAGTGATGGTGCATACAGGCTAAAAATAGGTCAGGTAGTCAAGGANTTTCCAATAGAACTTGTATACTATCATATTATATATTTTTAATATTCTAAACTGCAATATATGTAATAAAAATTAAAAATCTTATTTAAAAAATGTTTAAAAATTATTAATTAATTTTTTTACAATTTAAATTAAATATAAAAATTCTATATTTGTTCTTTAAAAAGTATTTTATTTCTATAAATAAAAGAATTTTAAAGGTAAAAAAAGGAGAGTGATGTATGTAAATATTATCAAAAATCATTGATTCATAATATATTCTCTGCACGTTAGATAAAGGGAGGAAGTAGGTCAATAATATATATTTTTTTAAATAAAAAGAATAAATAAAAAATATATATTATTTTTTTTAAATATAAGAAAAAAAGAATGGGAGTATGATTGATGACAATTCGGATATAAAAAGATTTTTATGTTTCTACTTTGAATATACTTTTATCAAAGACTCTATTCTGAATCGTGTATGCATCTGACAAACTTTATACAAATTTTTCTTATTGATAAACCTTATAAAATGAAGTTTACCTCTTGTCATTTATCAAATAAATTCTTCATATTTTAAAATATAAACTAATTCTGATGTAACAATTAATAAATAATTGATATAATGGGTATTGTGTGTTATTCTGTTACCAGGGACACTTACTATATTTTAAAAAATCCAGAAACGAGCGTAACTTTCCAGGCAAAAGTTATAATTGCGTGTGGTGCCACCTCTTATGAAATTTTATTAAATAATTTTTCATATTATTAAATATGCTATAAAATCTATTTAAGGTTCTAAAAACTCCACTTATTACCATAAATCCTCACATAATTGTCCACATAAGCATACTCACTTAATTGTCTATTGCTTGCTTAAACATGAATAAACAATTAAGTGAAACATTTTTCTTTTAGTACCATTGTACTATAAAGACTAGTTTTCGCTATACTGTTTCATCCAAAAAAATGGATTCATATAGACCAGTGTTTTACAACCTGTGGGTTGCAACCCCCATGGGGTCGCAAAGCCTTACACAGGGAGTCGCGGGTAAAAGAAAAAGACAAGTGTTTGTAGGTCCTACACTACAATAAAAAAAAAAACTACAATTTCAGTGAGAAGGCTGTGCCTGTTTATTTTACACTGTAAAATAAACCTGAAAAACCAATTGTACTGTAAAATTTACAGTACAATTGGTTTTTCAGGTTTATTACAGTACAATTGGTTTTACAGGTATTATTTTTCAGGTTCGATCGACATTTAGTTCTCAACAGAAAGAAAATTAAATACATAGTTTTTAAAATCACTGATATAGTTTTAATATGGCCCTGGGGGGGGTCACCAGAATTTTTTAACTTGTAAAGGGGTCGCGTATTCAAGAAGGTTGAAAAACACTGATATAGACCATTGCCTAGCAATGACCCATATTTTACAGATGTCAAAATCACACTTATAGTTAGATATCATCAAACAACAGCGAGTAAAAACATTTTCTGTTGAAAAATTGGGGAAGTTTTATGTGAAAAAGTAATAAAAACCTTATTGAGCTAGTGGGAAAAAAATTCATTTTGAATATCACAATAAAATTTAAAAAAAAATAATAATATACAGACAAAACTTTTTAAAGAATTAGAAATGGTTGGAAATTCTAATCTCATATGCTATTGGACAGAATACTTAGAGTGGAGAACATCTAACGTGATCCAGTATCAATTTCACTGAAACTTCCATGTCCACAGACAATTAAGTAAAATGTTTTCCAATAAAAATTACATTCAAAACAGTGATGCCTCATCTAATCACCCATGGGCAATCAGGTAAGGATTTACAGTATTTCATNCTGTGCTGCCATAGTGTAAAATCGATCAGTATAAGAGCTGTGCTTAAAACTTTAGAGCTTTTCTCTCGGAATCTTCTGGCTAGTGCGCTTTACAATTCTTCTGGGTGGACACCCTTGAGGTATACTACTAACCTACAAAGTCTCATCCCGAACTGAATTTCCAAGACCATAAGGTCCCCTTGTAAGATTATTTACTGCAAGACAGCACTAAACATCATCAATTAAATGTCCATCAAATCTACACAACACTACAAACATATGCTGTCAAAATTGGATACCACAGAAATTGGAAACTTTCATGACAATTCAACAGTTTATAAATAAAAACATATTTTGTTATTAGAACATAATTTTCATGTTATTCCATATACAACATTTTTCAGCAAATTTCTGGAAAAAAAAAACAGATATATATTTGGACAACTAGAGATACTTTACAAACCTCCTTTCTATTGCTTGCTTGAATAACAATATCAGAGAAATAACTTTCTTCTAAGGCACACAGGAAGGAAAATGGAAGATCCTGCTTTATTTCCATAGTGCATACCATGTTTGAACTCTTCAAGCTGAAAAGCTGGCTCTAACACAATAACTTTGGCCTGGAAATTTCAAAGTTTCTGCTCAAAGTTCTAGCCTCAACCGTCTCTTGGGCACTAGACACTGTAACATCTCTGTCCTTTTGTGACCTCTCTTCAAGCACCAACCTAAAAGTGACCTTTCTTTGCTTCATATGCTTTCAGGTAACCTTGCATATGATGTTGGTGAATTCTAGGAAGTGGCTCTTACTTCCAAGAATGAATAATTAAGATTAGAAAGTTCTAGAAGATAAAAATAACAAAGAGCAGGAAAAATTGTCAGAAGAACAAAAGGACAAAAGCATATATGGCAGACAGCCACATAAGACAGTGTAATTTGAATGATTATATTGTGTAATGTAAGTGTAGGAGAGTGAGATAGTGTGAAACACTGTTCCCTGTTGTGTCCAGTTGTAACTGTAATGTTTGAACTGGCAGTGCTATATTTTTGTAGTGTATTTTTAGACAGAATAAAGTCTCTTGTTAAGATAACATCTTTCTATATATAACAATTACTATATTGTACTATATTTTGCATTGCTACAGAATACAGAAGTATTAGTTTTAAAATTAAAACAGTAAAACAAATATCTGCTAAAATATTTGAATATGGAATTTCTGCAATCTGTAGTAATTAACTTCATTGACGATAATACTGGCTTAAAAAATTTTTTTCTAACTTTTCAAATGCAAACAGTTTCAAAATTTCAAATGTATCTAATGCCGTTGCCAATTTATGTTTTTTGACAAAATATCCAATGCAGATAATCTATGTTTGCATATCATACTTTGCAAGTAATTCTTGATTAGTTTAAATTTCAAACATGAGCATTCTGCAGGTGCTACAATGACTGGCACTGTGAGAAAGAGAATGAATGCAAAACATAAGTCATAATGATATATTCTAGTTTAATTACCGGTACCAATGAACACCATGACTAAACTTTTAATTTTGGAAACAGTGTTTAAAACAACATTGAACTAATGCTTTTGACTAAAACATAAGTCAGGAAACCGAACAATAATACATAATTTTAAACAATTATAAGCTTGTCTAGATCATAAACTGTTTCGCATTTTGAAATATCCAACTGAAGTGTTGACTAAAGTAAAACTGTAATGCAGTAAAACCTAAATACATCAAACTGCGTTAACTTGAAGCTGTATACAGGTCCCAAGCACAGTATATAAGGTTTTCCAAATAATGTAATCTCATTAAGTCAATTTTCCTTGACCCTCTGCCTTTGATAGGTCCATGATCTTAATTTTCTCTATTTTATGTGAAGACAGATAATTGAGATAAAAATGCATTATGACTCCATGCCAAACACAACACCATGTCATTACAACCTCCAGTCGATATCCTTTTACTGATACAGTACATTACCAGCATTCTAATTGGAACACAAAGAAGCACCTTGACAATGCACCATAAAGCACCATANAAAAAATTTTTGTTAGGCTTAACATCGATGAAAATTCAACGCAAAGTAGGTTAATAGCGATATACTAATATACTAATTACATGGGATATACTAATATACTATACTAATAATGTATTTTTTCATATTTTTTGGTTATCCGTTTTTTCAGTTATCTGATCAACCCCAGTCCCCAATTGAGTCGGATAATCGATGCTCTACTGTAGTATTAAACAAATATTTTCAAATAATTTTTCAACATCTTCACTTCTACAAATAAATATCTTGTGCTGTCTTTAATACATAATGCGTAAAAATAGAATATAATGTTAAAAAGAATATCTAAATTCAAGAAAATTTCAAAATTATACTTCAAAGAAAAAATGTTTGTCAGATTGAAATTATTTAATTAATACATTATGTTTTAGAACTTCATATCATCATTGAGAAAATTTTATTATTTATATTAAAATTATTTTCTTTAAGTTTGTTCAAAATGTAATCTTTTAAAATGGATTTTGTCATGAGATTTGCCTGTTTTAATATTTAATTTTGTTAGATTTTAATTCCTTTTCACTTCTTTTATTTTATCGATTGAAGATGAATTTGTATCTTAATTGCAAGTATTGCAGAATCTCACTAATCCAGCACTATTAAGAACTATCTAGTTCTGGATTACTGAAATTTAGGAAGTTGATAGGTAAATAAAGCATATAGAAGTTGCCATAACATGTATTACTAAATCTTTTAATATACAATAAAAGTTACAGAAAAAAAAACTATATACAGTATTCTAATGTTATATTTTTGTATGCTACTATGTATTTCACATCAAAAAGTTATTGCTGAATAGTACTGAAAAACAGTTTTCAATAATCAATCTCATATCTTCCTTATGTCTTCCAGCAACATTTATTAAAAACAAACATTTTTTTGTCTAGTTTACAGGTCTGCTTCAGGTTCTACATGTTTGAATAGGTGCAAGATTGATTATTGTTAGGACAAGTTCCTGTTTTGAATGACACATTGCTTAAAACAGTTTTCAATACATATCAGTCTCTTTGAAACCATTCTAGCCTTAAATACTTTCATAATCTTTGCAAAAGCATGGCTTCTTTGGCTTTGACTCATGATTAGAACTTAAAATTGGGATATAACTCACCCCATTACATAATGTAAACTTCTTTTCAAATTATGTTTCAAACACAGATACCCCACAAGTTATCCACCCAAAATTACAGTACATAAGACCCTGCTTAATGCTTATTCAATATCACACTGTCTGCTCGAAGTCTTAAAAGCTCAAAATTTACGCTGATTTAAATTATTGTGGCATTTTAATTTTATTGATTCGTACATAATACGATTATTTATGAACACGAACCAATCATAAAAAGCTGGCAAAAAGGTGTACTTTCTTTAAATCTATGTTGTTTGGTGCAACTTTGGAAAAAATACATCATCATGGATGCCGTAGACAATATCAGCTTCGCTCGGCAAGAATTAACTGATAAATGCATGAACAAAGTGTGGAAGAAGTTATGGCTGAAGGTATCCAAGAACTCTCAACAAGAAGAGCCTATCGCTGTATTGTTGGGTTGATCAAACTCAAGCTAATTGATATAGCAGGACTAGGTGATATAGATGAGTAGGATATTGAGGAGTTACAACATGTTTCTGGTGAGAGCCTTACCAATGATGATCTTCAAGAACTGGCAGAACATGGAGTTCATATAGAACTGGAAAATAGAGATTCTGAAAATGAAGAACCTAAAAAATTTCTCTACAGATTTCCTTAGTAAAAGTTTGGTAACAATAACTGAAATCATTAGTCAAATTGTAGCAAATGATCTAGATTTTGAAAGAAGTGCAAAAGCAAAACAAGGCGTTTTAGATGCGAGTTTCTTCTACCAACATTTGCTTAAGGAAAGAAAAAAGTGAAAAATGAAACTTCACAACTTTATTGCAAAAGAACAAGAATTTCAGAAAAGTCAGGACCTTTGTCACAAAAAATGAACTTTACATTTCTGTGTGCATATGTTTATGTATTATTTAACATATATTATTATACAAATTAATATAAAAATAACTTATAAAGTAAAATTTGTTTATTTTTGGTTGCATGTTCCCCTATCCCTATTTACTCTATGTTAAAATGACCTNTGAGAATATAAGTAAGGTCATTTTCTATAGGCAATTTCAGTCGTTATTGTATTTTTTGGGGGGGTTGTATTGAGATCAGTATTATTAAGCCATTTTGTCTATTATTTGGATAATCGTTTAGTTAAAAGATTTTATAAACGTCTTCTATTCCTTTAGTTTGTTTAAGGTAATTGGTCGTACGTGTTTTAATTTTGGTGATATACATGTTAAAAATGTTTTTCTTGATATACATACCTATGTATATCAAGAAAAATATTAGATTACTGGAATGATTAATAACTTTCTTTACATTACATGATTTAATATATTTTTTAAAACTTAAGTTGTTATGAGACCTTTAGACAGTGATGTCTAAAAATGGTAAATTGTTATTATATTCAAGTTTGATATCAAAAGCTATGTTGGTTACTATATTATTGGCACAGTTAAGGATAGTTTGAGAGTTGGTTAAAGTATTATCATAAATTATTAAGCAGTCATCTACATATCTATTATATTCTATTATGCTTCTGAGGTTTCTAATAATAAGATCTATTTCTATCATACATAATTTAGCTAACAGTCACACCAACTGCTGTATAAGATTGGGATATTTTCCAGCAATTATAATTTTAATTAATTAGTAATTAAAATTATAATTGCCGAAAAATAGCCTGATCTTATATGGCAATTGGTGTGGCTGTATACATAAAATTTAAATGTTGTATATTGCTTTTCTTTAGCCATCTAAATCAATTACCATCATTTCACATCAATAATTAATCCACATTTATCTATGTTTAAACATCAGTTTGAAAGTGGTCTTAGTGTATGCAACAGAACAGTTTATAGGCCAATTTTAAATTGTAATTACAAATTCATCAAACAACTTTCCTTTGTTTAAAGTAATTAAGTGTGTCTTTAGAAGATATAAAAATTTCTTTGTGTACCACACATATTCATTCACTATCATGATTTTTCTAAAGCAATCAAAAGCATGTGTATGCATATATTGTCTTTAGATCCCACTCATTCATAGATTTAATCCATGTTTTAATTGATATCATTAAACACCCTACATGATATTAAAGAATTAAAAGATACTGGCTTTTTTCAGTAACATATCAAACAAGGGGCAGTTGTTGATATAGGTTTTATTGGAAGAGATGCATTTCAGGTCTTAATGACCCCTCTTCAGTCCTTATACGTTACAAAGGAAGATAGATAAGGATTACAACATATATAATAATACATACAATCTTTTTAAACAAGAATGTTTTTAACTTACATGCTTGATTATTGGTTACAAATTGACATTAAAGAAAATATTGGGTAATTGACTAGGTAGAATCTGTTTACAAGGGAACAAAGTTTACAGTGCAAGATAAAATAGAGGAGGACAAGTAAAA